TGGGCGGAGGGGCGCGGGGGACGAGAGAAACAAAGATAGAGAAAAGGAAAAAATTACGCATTTTATTTATAAGCTTGTGCGCTATTCCCTTCTACGGTTCACTATGACTTTTGAGAGAAACTTCCACGAGGGAGTGCGAATTTCCGAGTGGAGTTTTCGAACTGAATAACTCTAAGGAGCAATCAGAGCTGAAAAAGAATATCATAATAAAAGTCAAATTGCATGAAAATCTTTTAAAATGATACACTTGGAAGTTCTTTCTTCATCGAGGAGTGTTTAAATGAAAGAAGATTATGCGTTGCCCCCCCCCCCCCCCCCCCCCCCCCCCCCCCCCCCCCTTTTTTTTTTAATCCTCTTATAAAGAACACTTCGATCTTACGTATCTTCATATTACGCATTACATTAATCACTTTAAATTATTATAATAAAGTATAATGTATTTTTAACAATAACTTCTATATTAACATACACGTTGATTAATATAGTTTATATTTCCAATTGTTTTCCTCTTCTTTTCATCTTTATATAAAGTTTTATCTTAACTAAATGTAGTCTTGGCTCTAAAATTATGTGTATTTTCAAACTTTTCACGCAGATTATATTCTCATGCAGAGTATATAAAACTATCATAAACATAAAGGAATAAATAAATTATATAGTAAATATGCCTAGTAAACTTAAATTAATTTAAATTGTTCGACGATAAGAGCATTGTACAAGCTCAAAAAGAATTTCGTTTTTAAGAGTTCGTTTATGTGTTTCGTATATTTATAAATATTCGGAATATGAAGAAAGTGCTAGAACTTTATTGGCATTTACATTAACATTTCATATATCATCATTATATTATTCCGATGACGTGATTGAATAAACTTTGTTGAGTAATAAAATAGCGGACGAGCGAGTAAAGTGAAAAATGCGTCATAATGATTGAGCGATATATTGCCAAGAATTGTCCTCAAATTGTACATTGAGTTAGAGTACATGAAATCATCGCGTTCAGACATTGTCGAGACGTTTGTTGACGTGAATTGTCCATTCCCGTAGAATCCTTTGTAGTAACGCGTGGGTAGGGCGGCGGGGAGGGGGAGGAGCAAAGCAAAGGGGCGCATAATCTTCGCTGCTATTAAAAGAGCTTGTTGGGCAGCAGTCCAGCACTAGCTAAATAAAAACACCTCCTCGAAATTTTGTAAGCACCGCGATTGTTTCTACAGCAGCTTTTGCAGGAGCCTCGCCGTACAGCATGGGTGGCGCAAGCCAGGGTACCCCGACGCCGATGATGTCACCGGCCCCACCCGGTGGACCCCAAGACATGGCCGGCTACGGTATGGGCATTAACGGCAGCGACTATGGCTCCCAGCCGTATAACGACGGCTCGATGGGCTACGATCCGATGCACCAGGTAAATTACCAGAGGGATCGCCAGCGCAGCCATGACTACGACGATGAGTAGACACGGTAGAGCTGGCCTTTCTTATCTTATACTTTTGCATGCTCTTGGAGCTCGAGGGAATGGTGATCTTTAACGAGGGCGTACGTCAAAGTAAAATTTTTCGATAACCAAGAAACCACATTAATAAGCATTTTTCACTTTTAATGATAAATAGAGTCATAAATATTTATGACTTTTTATAAATTATTATTATTATTATTATTATTTTGAACATAAAAATGCATTCTTTTTTTTTTCTTTATTACGAGGTCAGATGTTGCCCTTGACTAGAAGATCACTTTTTTTTAAAGCTCTAGCTCAGTGTAGATGCGTTATGCATGTATTGTGTAGATTTTTATTGCGGTAACGCTTGTGTAAATAGTGCCTGCATGCTTGCTATCTGGTTTTGTTACTTCCTGTGGAATTATTTTATTATTAATTGTTATTAATTATCGTCTGTCAGTATTAATTAATTCATTGTGTTTAGAGGGGATTTTGATAAAACTACTTTTGAATTAAGTCGGGGGATGAGAAACATCCACGCGATTAAAAATAATGAAATCACTTTCTTCAATGTTGCTTGTGTATATATAGGCATATTTCAATGTATTTCACTGTTATTTTTCAAGAACAAAAATTTGTCCCTTGGTTTTTCTACAAATATTATCCGCATTATTGAGCAGAGAAACGGATAACTCCTTTAACTATAAATACTTTATAAAACAGATGAAAATAAGCTTCCTATTGAAAAAATTTTAATCACATTTAAAGCACAATTTCAAAACTCATCTTAATATTAAGTTAAAAAAAATTTTCATAATGTTATTATTGGTGCATTTTATCTTATTTATATAGATCGAGGGAAGTTTTATCAAAATTATAAAGCAAGTCGATTGGTTAAATTCTTTTGTTAAATTGGTATATCTTACGCTAAATTATTCATAATATCATTCATAATTATTTCACCAGTGTCTCGAGAACCAGCGAGTATTATTTATATTAATGCGAGTCAAGTCTCATGCATGGCGCACGTACATGTAGAAGAAGGGGTGAGCCATTGTCGCCTCAAGCTCCAGCGCTTTTACGTGACTCTGGAGTTGCGTTGAAAGTGCTGGATTAAATGCGAAAAACGAGTTCGAGCTAAAGTTCAAAGTCTTAACTTCGTTTGGAAATTTCTTGTGTTTCTTTTCATTGTGGTGAAAGTTGTGACACTATTAAAGTTTTTAACTCGAAACAACGATAATTATTATTTATAATATTTTTCTCTTTTTTATCTCATATTCTTCTCATTTTCATACGGATCTGAAAATTTATAGTATTGTTTTGGTTATTTTTCTGGGAAGTAAATTAGAATATTAATTAATTTTTATACTAAACATGAGTGAATGCTGTTAATTTTGTTATCGATCACATAATATAAGACATATTAATAGACGTTTTAGTTATATTATTCGATAATATCATTTCGAAGATAATTTTTTTAAAGCTCGAAATTGCTTTAATACTAAACTCGACGAAGCTTCGTTTTAAGCCCATTCGTTTCACGCGCTTTCGTTAGTACGCATTAACTTTACGGAGTATCATCTATTTCCAACGCTTGTGTACATTTATTTGCCAAAAGTGCATTTACGAAAGTGTGTTGAAATTTAACTCCAGGATTTATATCCATGTATGTGCGCCCGATGTACGCAAGGTTTATATCTTACGGGGGTTAAAATTTTGAACATGCTCTGGTAGTACGAGTCACTACTGTTTGTGCGCGCACATACACAAGCGTCCGGAACTATGAAAATCATCTTATACGTGTATATTTAAATAGAGGAGTAAGGTGCAGAAGGTTGTCGGAGAGTACGATGTGGAAGGACTGAATGAGAGTGCGAGAGAGAGAGAGAGAGAGAGGGTGTGTGTGTGTGTGTGTGTGTGAAAGGAAGGGCGAGATAGGGGGGTTGGGGTGTGCGGGTGAGAATCTTAGGAGAGAAACGGGCGGAGAACACGACAACGGTATATAAGAGGAACCGAGCGAGCATAGCCCAGGGGAGGAGGCGGGCGCAGTTTCGTTACTGTTAGCATTGTAGCTAGTAACCAGGTTGCTTAGTATGCATTGGAGTTGCAAAGTCACTTTTTTAGACCGGGTACGCTACTACCGGCGCTCGCACATAGTAATGGACTACACGAAGTATATGTATGTGCACGTAGCCACGGCCACGAGTAACGCGCGACCCCTGATAACGACTTACTGGAGAGACGCGTGACTTCCCTATGCATTACGATACTTTAGCTACCCGCGAGCCCATATCGATGAAGCTTTTCCGATATTTACGCTTACTTTTTTGTCTCCTTCGTTTATTTACACGATTAACAGAAATGGTACGGATTACTATTCTTAGGTAATGGCTCGTGTTTAGTGGCTTCCGAAGCAAACGTTTTCGTTTTAAAGATAAATAGAAAGAGACAGAGAGAGAGAGAGAGAGAAAGAGAGAGAGAGAGAGAGAGAGAGAGAGTGAGAGTGAGAGTAAGAGTGAGTAAATTGTTGTTGGATGGGATGAGAAGGGAGGGGCGTCTTTCAATGAAGATTCTTTTACAGAAAGAATCGTCAGTTTTAAGTAACAACGGCAATGGAAATTCCCTTTTAATACTAAAGAAAACTAATTAAAGTGCTAAAAGTTAATTGATGTTCTCGAGGAATGTGATAATAAAATTTACTATCACCTTTTAGTCTTTTAGTATTAATTTACATTTATATTTCATAGGTAGATGATTATTTTTCAGTTAAAATTAAATTCATTAAATCATAAATTCAGCAATCAATATGATCATTGAACGTAAATTTAATGTAAATATAATTTTTTTTTACTAATATGTATTTAATAACATTGTTCTCCTTGTGCATTAATTAAAAACTAAAAGAAATAATAAATAGTTAGATGGCTTCGATGAATGGAAAACTTATTTGACTATAAAATTTTCATTATCGCAACTAACCATATTTACACACGATTTCCTCATGATAAATCCTTTCTTAGTCTGAACGCATAAAAATCTAACACTAAACTATAATAGTTGCCCTAACCAAAGTTTAATTATGATTTTTATTTTAATTTTTTTCTTTTTAAATAATAAACTAAAATCTAAACAGCTGACTGGTGTTATATTTTCATGAAAATCAAAATTAACATTTCATGAACTGTGTTTGTTGCAACGAGAGTGCAGAGTGAGCAGTTTTTTGTGCTTTATTTCATATTAATCATTTTGCTCGAATTAAAAACGAAAAAATAATTCAGCACCCTAAACCAGCAAACGTTTTTTTTTTCTCGCAAAGTCAACGTTATAATTAAATGACAAAATTAAAAATTCGTTCGTACATTAACGTGACTTTGTTGCAAACACAGTTCTTTAACATTTATTCCTCTTACACAAAAACATCTTTTCATAGGATTCATTATTTAACGAATCTTTTGATTATTTTAAAGCTGAAACATGTTATAATTTTTATAATTAGGTTTTTAATCTCTGCTGATTTTTACTACTTGCAAGTACAAATAAACGTTCAATATCGTCACGAATTATTAAAACGATTAACATCAGTTCATTAATAACGGCCAAAAGAATGTTAATGCCCAACTATGCAACTATTTGCAAATAATTCGAAGATAAAAATTACTTTTTAAATGCTTTCATTCGGATGATCCGAAGAGTAAAGGGTTTTCGGTAAAAGCTAATAATATTTATTGTTATTTGTCAATATTCTGAACATTCCAATGAAGTTTAAAATTACCTCAGAGATTCAATTCATCAACGCTAATTGTAAATTAATGTTGTCATCTAATAAATGTAATATACCAAATGCACTTGTCTTATCTCAAAAATATTTAAATAGCATGAAATAGAATAATATTACATTAACTTATAGAATAATAAGCTGTTAAGCATTTATAAATCATTCGAAGCATACATCGCATCAGCAATATAAAAATGTTTCTTTAAAAACAAAAAAAAACAAAAAAAAAAAAAAAAAAAATTACTTGATTAAACTGTAGTAGAAGAAAGGAATTAACGAGTCGCTGTAAGAATTTGGGGCCATGAAGCAAATATTAATTGTATAGTAACAATTGGGATTCCGTGTTATATTTTTGCAGTGACGCGACACAGGCATAATGTCGCATAAGTGTCATCAGGGCCTAAGAGACGAAGCTCACCTCTACGAGCCACATTGGATCTTACCTCCGTTGCAACAAGCACAAGATACTAGACTGCAAAATGAAATAAAATGTTGAAAAGAAAGAATACGGGAATAATCGATAGCTATTCTATGATTCAATGAGGGTGTGACCAACAGTTGTTAAGAAACGCCGTTCGTTGCTTAATAATTCTTTCCTTAACGCGTACTTACCTTTCGCAAATATTGTACGGATACGTAAGCGATGAACCGATTGTGTAATTAATTGGCGTAATGGATAAAATGATAAGAAAACGCCTCTCTTCACATTTAGGGGGATGTGAGTTGTGAAGCTCTAGCCAAGTTTTTCATTAAATTCGACGTAATCTTCAATTTGCTGATTTATTTTTTACTATAGATCGCGCACAGTTGTCAGATGATATGTGATTACCAATGAGAAATAACATTGCACTCGAGCAGTAATTAAATAATATAATGATGGCAATTTTAATGTAACTTTAATAATAAAATACTTTACCCATAACTAGACATCCCCGTAAATGTTGGTGTTGCATTGGGTTTCATTATTAGTGAAAAGCTTTCTCCCTCTATTATAAATGTTCTTCTTTGAAAGTCTTGTTCTTAAGCTTGTAGGTATCTTAAATAAGTGTGCAATAAGAATTTGATAATAAAATTTCTTTTAGTAGAGGTAAACGTAGTGAAAGTAAAATAATGTCTAGATATAGAGAGTTAGTAATTGGAAATATTATAATTCGATGTGATTGATCCGAAAATATAATGTATAAGGTTTATACGTTTGTACATACATTGCATGACATAATTTGTAATGCAATGTCAATTCGCGTACTGTGTATTAAGCTTAAATATATCGATTTATCGACGGACATCGAGTGTATGAAGTCGCGCAACAAATAATAACAGAGGTTAGGCACATGCAGCAGATAGAAAGCATCCTTTTTAAGGATAAGGACAATGATACTATCAGTTGCCAGCGGTAGCATGTATGAATTGCATGTTGATTTTTGTATATTATAACAATTGTTTTATACAGTAGTACGTGTGTAAGTGTGTAAGTTTTATGTTATATTTTAAAGAACGATTGACTGGGATTTTTTCAGACAACTCTCAAATTTCATTAATAATATTAAGAAACATGGTGATTGTAAATTAGATTTCCGTAATTTTTTTTTTTTTTTTTTTTTTTTTTTTTTTTTTTAAACTTTGTTATCAGTGATATTATTTTACGTTATTAATTAGAGACGCGTAATTAAAACAGTAATATTTTACTGTGAATTACGTCGAATGAGCTTTATCGTAAATTAAAAGTATTAAAAGTAATTGTATTTTTTAAAATCATGATTCTTTTTGTTGCCTATGAATTTGAGAATCGAATGTTAGAACCCTTGTTCAACTTGCCTTTCGCCTTTGTTACTTATTGTTTTAATAGATAAGAAAAGTATATTCTTTAGAAGCTGGGAGTACACGTAGATAGGATTGATGAGTTTTGAAATATATACCACAAAAAAGAAATAAATAATTCATTATGAGCAGCTGAAGAATATCGATGGTGTATAATTTCTTAAAGTTCTTTTTTTTTTTTTTTCATGTTGCTGCTCTGCAAAAAATTGTTAAAAATCTTTTTATTTAAACGTAAACGATTTTTTGCTGTAATAAATATTCAGTTAATAGCATTATAAATGGTCCGAATAAAATTTGATACATTTTTAAGGAAGGATAATTTATTAAATTATAGAATACATTGCTAAAAAAAAAAAAAAAAAAAAAAAAAAAAAATAAAAAAAAATTTTAAAAAAAAAAAAAAAAAAAAAAAAAAAAAATGCTAAAAGCAAAACAGAGCGCAATGATAGAGAAAATTTTCTTAAAAATTATATTTTAAATTTTGCAATCGATATTCTCTACTGCTTAGAATTTTTGAGAAACGTAGAAATATATATATTATATGAATACATACACGCGCACACTCTCGCGCGCGCACGCTCACGCACATATACACGGACAGACACACGCGCACACGCACGCGCACACGCAAACGCACACGCACACACGTTATTGAGCTTGTTAATGTAAAACAAAAGAAAAGTAATGATGATTAAGTATTGAGTGTTAAGGCTTAGAATAATTGTGAATAATTAGAATAATTATTAGTAGTATTGTATGTAAATATTACGCGTTATAAATAATGATACGGAAGATTTCTTGCAAATTTCGTGCCGCTAAATGGGGTGCTTATTACATATACTTATTGTATATTTGTAATTACGTGAGTTTGTATAGATAATTATTGTATTAGAATATAAACTTAAGACAATGTAAACTATATTCTCCTAAGAGCGGAATGTACGTTTCGCACAATGTAAAACGTCTGTTTTTTCAAAAAGAATTTAAAACCTCGATAAATCTCGTATTTGATTGGGATTATAAATATATGAAGTAAATATTATTTCCATCGCTTCGATAGTATCGTAAAAATAGTTAAATTTATATTTGAGAAAGATTTGAGAAAAGAATATCTAAGCATATTCGTGATAATAATTAATCTCAGCTCGTGTAACGTGCTTTTTTTGATTAATTTCAATACGATTTTGCAGTTTTTATAGGAAAGTCGGCGCGATTAGTGTAGCATTATCGACGGTCTGAAGAGAAGGACGAAAGGTACTTTGAATATGTCAATATGTCGTATAATGAAAGACGTTCGTGCAGACAATATTGACGCTTTAATTGTCGCTTGACAGTGTTATTCGCTCAAAAGTCCGGTCAAAAGAGTCAAGTCAAAAGAGTCAGTGTCGAATAAGAGTTTGTTTTTTTTTCGTTTTTTTTTTTCGTTTTTTTCCGTTTTTTTTTTTTTTTTTTTTTTTTTTTTTTTTTTTTTTTTTTTTTTTGAAAATTTAATCACAAGTACAATAAGCGTTATGTAAAAGTATTAATATTATAATTCATAGTAATAAGATAGAACGGAGTTTGCTTTGAGAAAATCTTTGGTGCGTGGCATACTCGTATACAACATTTCCTTCGTCTATAAACTAACTCATTTATTAGACGTTATTTGCAAGTAATGTTCAAATCAATAGACAATTTTTGTTCCACACTGTGTAGTGACGTATCGAATCGCTAATTGAAAAATGCCTATTAATTTAATTAATGCCGAAATAATGTTCGAAAGTTTTGATAAAGGCATAGTAAAGATAATTGATTTACTGTCGTTTCCTTACCGTAAGAAAAATGCCATCCGCTAATCGAGATGCAACGTAGCCCTTAGGTTGTCTTAAGTCCACATTCCTGCACACAATTAACTATATATTATGTAACGGTAACGGCTGTATCGCCCTTAAGCAACCTCCCACGAATTATGTACAGCTCGTAATATTCGCAATGCAGATGGCTAATTGTTATTCAAATTATATTTTAAGCCTTGACATGCCGCTCGCCTTGAACGTCGCACGTTCAAAACGAGAATCCTTTCAGTGCTTATATCTAAATGCATTTTACTTAGACATATTAATAAGTCTGTGAATGTAAAGACAAAAGAGAAATAATGATGACGCAGGGCAAGGCAATGGCCGGGGGATGGATGCAGCAGAGCCGCGAGACGGTGCCGGAGTTTCCGCCGCTCCACGGCGATTCCGCCGACTCGGATTCCGATCGAGAGAGCAACAGCAAACCGCGCGTCTAAACAAGCGAGACAAAACGACAAAACGCGTTCAATCGGAGGACGAATAACGAACGATCCAGTCGCTTTACATTTATTTTGTTTTATTTTTGCGTTGCAACGACACCAACGGACACGCACACCGAATTTGCATTAGCAACGCGCACGTACACGCTAAAGGATCCTCATTTTGCGTTATGAGTTGACGTTGCACTCAAGATATATATCCATGTATACTTGTATTTGCAGCAACCGTAAGGGCCCTATTTTCCTTAATTTTATACTTTTTATTTTTATTGTTTATTACATTTTACATATGATATTATGTAAATTTAATTTTATATGTTAGGTCACGTGAATATTGTATCGTATTAATGGTGCATTACTCGTCGATGTATGCATACTTATTAGCTCATGTTTTGTAACGAGAATTTATCCATGCACTAAAGATAATTAATGCATGATGTTATTAATTTTCTTCTACTTCTTCTTCTTCTTCGTCGTTTTTTTTTCTTCTTTTTTTACATTGTTATTGGGGCTGCTAAGAGCTCGCGTACACTTAGATGCGAGTTTATTCAGAGTTTCAGAGTATTTCTTCTTTTCATTGATTAACGTCTGATTATATGCAATTGTCATTCACATGCAATGTAGCTAATGATATTTTGTCGATTGAAAAAGCTGATTCCTAAAGCTTATAAAGTTTATTAATTTATTTGTCGTTCAAAGGGTATACGATACTTGCTCTAAAATTGTAAGCACCAATGACAATAAATGAATAGAACTTTCATTTAAACACTTCACTTGTACAGCTACACTGTTTGCTTTAAGGTTTATATGTATAAATAAAATCATTAAAAGCAGAATATTTTGAGGAATTTGAAAGAAAGTAGCATTATCGATTTAAAACATGTATTTCTTATCATCTTGGTTTCGGCAAAATCATGTCATATAGGCTTATAGCATACAATTTACGATTAAAGTAACACATCTTTGTATTTTTTTTTATTTTTTTTTTTTTTTTATTTTTAGAGACATAGAGGTGACAATATTAACGGTGTCTTTCTACGCCTTGTCTAAGGGAAAAGAGAGCATCGCGTACGGATTAGTTACTATCTTATACGCTAGTTTGCCACTAAATGATTTACGAGAGTGCTTTGCTTCACTACTCGTTTTTAGATTCTTGTAACGTTTTACTCTCGCTTCGTGCCTTCCATCGCTACTATCATTATCATTATTATTATCATTATTATTATTATTATTATGATGATTATTATCATCATTATTAGTATGATGATTATTATTATTATGATTATTATTATTATTATTATTATTATTATTATTGCTATTATTGCTATTATTGCTATTAATATTATTATTATAAATATTATTATTATTATTACTATTACTATTACTATTATTATATCAACTGCAGTTTTAATTTTAATTGTCTACTGTGTATCTAGGTATAAAGGATTTTTTTTGTACATGGCATATTCGCTTTATTGTACGTTTAATTTTAACCATTACATATATATATATATATATATATCTGCATGAGATAAGCCAATACAGTATCGGACGCGATATAAAATATTTACCTTTATTTTTTTTTGTTTCATGTTCGACGTTAAAAGATATTAATATTTGATTATCACGATACATGTTCTTTCATGTTTCTTTTTTTTCCCTCCGTTAAATAGCGTGTACATGCCTTGTAAACACTATTAAATGCTATTGCAAATAATGTTCCGAGTTTAGAGCCATCAAGGATTATTAAGTAAAAGTTTTATTATTATTTAGTGTTAAAGATTTTTATAACAATTTTAATTAGAAGTAAATTAACTTGGATAATAGTGATAAAATGACAAATTTTAAAGCTGCATATTGGATTGAGAAAATGAAGCGTTCTAAATACATCACAGATTGTAAATATTTAAAAAATCAAAATACCGACAATATGACCGGGCGATAAGCACGGAACTTGACACTATTAAAGTTTGCTTTCTTACAAATGTTCATTCGTCTTATATTTTAATTTCATACCTTTTCAATTTATATCCTTTGATTGCGCCTGCCATTATTTAGCCTATTTATATTTATACTTTTCAATTTAGCCGCTCATGTATATGTTCTGTTATTATTCATGTGTTTTTATATTCATGCATGAAGAGAAACATAAACTTTATATATAATTAATTGGACTAGCAATTTTTATTTTTCACAAGTTTAATATGAAAATATAAGTTGTTCAATTAGATGTCATTTACTTATAAAAGAGTATTGAAATTTTCTCTAAGTGCTTCTAAATAAATTCAATGGATACTAATTTCGTTATTGTGGTACAAATAAAATCGCTTGCTGTTGAAAATGGACGAGTTAGCATAAAAATACTTGATTATTATTTTGATTTGATGTTGCAATTTTGCAAAAGAACGAGACACAAATCAACATCTTAAACATTACCAGCATTTATTATGGTAAAGGTATTTTAGAAAAAATTTCGCG